CTTCCGATGATCTTAGTCAATACTCCTTTTCCTCAAGAAAGCGGTCAAACTGCGTTCTTCAAGGTTAACCTAAACTTCCCTGAGTTAGCCAACATCTTGTACTATTGCCTCATCTGCAAAATAAACATGTAATCAGGGATGTGCCCAGCACAAGCCAGCACAGGCCGCAAGATGTACACTCCTCAGTGTCACAACCAACCAAACAATGATCTTCTCACCAATTTTTTTAACAGAATGAAGAGGGCAGGGAGGTCATTTTTAGAAAGTAGTTGTGTTCTAGAACAGGGCTTGGCACCCTTTTAGACTGGCCAGTCAGGCACCTGTTAACCTGCTACCACTACAGGCCCCATCCCCACTGCTGATTCCCCACTGCTCCGATTCCCTTCCGCTTACCAGGTGCCAACAAAAAACATCCTGAATGCCAAGGGGAAACAGCAAATTTGGTAGTGAGAGCACAGTGCAGGTGACCAAATTGCCACTTTAATGCAGCCCCTTTAAATCACTGATCCCAAACCCAACCCCTTTGCGGGCTGCCAACCTAACTTTTAGGAGTATTTACTGAGTTAAAACAGCAGCATTTACCCAAATAAGCAAATCAGGTGGGATAGGTTTGAAATACTAGAATTCTCACGTGAATTTCTGAGAAAACTACATATTCCCTTTCCAGTTCAAGTTAAAACCTCTCCAATGACATCCATCCTGCAGAACAATCCCTCCCCTTCTTTGGTACTTACACAATTAGATCACTGCACTCTTTGTCCCTTGCCTTAGTTTGGCCAAGTTTCAGATTTAATTTTCAATCTTCCTCAGGGAAAACCATTTCACCAGCTCTTCTTTGGACAATAGAATGTGCCAGGGTTTAAGTTGCTAGCCTAGGACTTGGGTTTGAGACCTTGTCTGCTAGGTTTCCTGTGTGACTTTTGCTATCTCACTCAGCCTTTCCGTGCTTCAGATCCTACCTGTAAGCTGGGGAAAATAATACCTACCTTCAGAACACCTCTAAAGTGACAGAGTGACTAGAAGTGTGTGTCTGGTAATGAGGTGTCTGAACAGAAAATAGAGGAAGGACCATTATAAGCACTTCTGTTGGGGCAGATGCACCCTGAACCAGAATTAGAGCTTCCACTAGATTTAGACAGACTACAAAAGTGGGCAGATGAGAATAGGATGGGGTTCAACGTAGACAAATGCAGGGTGCTGCACCTTGGGAGAAGGAATCCACAGCATACATACAGGCTGGGGAGTTCCCTTCTTGAAAGCACAGAGGCGGAAAGGGATCTTGGAGTCATTATTGACTCCAAGATGAACATGAGCCGCCAATGCCAGACCGCAGCCAGCAAGGCTGACCCAATTTGGAGGTTACCTTACTTGCAGCA